ATTTTTGTAAGTTTCCAAAGGATCTTATGAGATCTTGAAAGTTTGGAGCTTTTCCTGGAATATCCCCAGGGATCCTAAAGTCAACTTAAAGTTGCCAAATAATATTAAAAATATTTTCAACAGCCTGCAGAGAGCCATAAGATCTTATGAGATCTTGAAAGTTTGGAGCTTTTCCTGGAATATCCCCAGGGATCCTAAAGTCAACTTAAAGTTGCCAAATAATATTTAAAATATTTTCAACAGCCTGCAGAGAGTCTTAGATAGCTCTAAAAGCCAAACTAATAGTAAACAGGACAGCTTTGATTTCATATTTTGGACCTTTATCTGTATCACCACCATCAACATGGGGAATGCCATGCTTTTGCTTATTGCCATCCTGTCATCTTATTGGCAATCATGTCAGATCTCATAAATGCACGCATGTGCACGATCAACTTTCAGTATTATGTAATATAACCAGCACTATGACATCTGTACTTTGTCAGTAATCCATTTATTTCCATGAATTATACGTGCCGGCTGCTTCCTGTTCATCCTCTTTCTCCTTAAACTTTATTGCAGGAAAAAAAATAGGAAAGGTATAACTGCAATGACATAGTGAGCTTAACCCTAATTTAACAATTCGGAATGGCACTAATGAAGTCCACCTACACCGCATAGCGACATCAAGAGGCAGAGAGATCGTCATAACCATAGTTAATCTACTCGTACCAAACATTTTGAGTTTCGAAACGTGGATCTCTGACACTGGGTAGCGCGCATTTCTCAGTCACGACACGATCAGTCGTCATCGCCCACGCCCTGCTAAGGGGTCTCACGAAGGGGAGGCATGCATCATCTGTCTCTCGCGCGCCGCTATCTGCCAGTCTCTCTGCGCCGTCATCTGTCTCTCGTGCGCCGCTATTGCGCAGCGTCTGGATCAGACGCCTCGCCGATGCCTGCAAAGCTCTCTTGTTTTGGGTGCAGCGCCGACGCTCGGCGTCCCGTAGCCGCCCACCCGGCGCGCCCCATCGATTTCACAGCAGGTTGACGTATCTGACGACAAACATCATTAGGCCTGATAAAGTGTGCGGTGTGTTCCCAAGGTTTCAAGCAATCTCATTTCGTGCAGACAGCTTAGCCGGCACCAGAAAGGTCATCCTGCATGATCGTGAGCGATTGCCGGAAGCTTATGTAAGTGAATTGAATGCTGCTCGTTGTAGACGTGCTCCTCCTCGGCGTGCACCTAGCCTGCAGCACGGAGTTCCCCGATACTAACGATCGCGGTGGCCGCTCTCGCCATCCGGTGGATGTATATCCAGCCGCTCGGTGCTTTGCCCCCGCTTCGTTGATAGCGCGCACCAGGCCGTGATAGTGCTGGATCAGTTTCTCATCTGGCTCCCGAGCAATGCAGCCTTATCGGAGGTACTAGTTCAACTGTTTCAATAGGAGCGGAGAAGGGAGCGAGAACCCTGCGGCACAAGCAGCAATACGATCTCTATTAAGTGCAAAAGCATGCATAGTTCCTGGCCGGCGGTTCCGTGTATATGTTGTACTCGGCACATTCTAGTTGCCGTGTTTTCCCTTCATATGGCCGCACAGGAGCGCGGCGCGCCACGCAGACGGTACCTCATCAAAGTTAATAAGTACCATTTAGTTCCTGACGCGACTGCTGCGAACGCGGGTGCGCTCCGCGAAGACGGAACCTCTTAACATAGTAGCAGGTGCTCGATCGGGCGTGAACGGCACCGGAGGCGCCCTGTATTGCGGTACAGCATAGAGCTCCAGGCGGCTGCGGCGGCCGAGCGGCTGCAGGGAAGCGGGTGTCAAACACGATACGCTGACGAGCCCCAGACTGTATGGTCCCTAAGCCATGTACCTGCAATAGTCCGTATCTGATCCGTTTCTAAAGCTTTCATTGACGCCCGTCATTTTTTGTCGCTTCCTGGACCTACAAATAGCATGTCTATTCTTTTCAATAGGCCGGTAACTAGGCGCTGAATCTAGCCACCCACTTGTGATCTGCACGGCCGCAATCATGAGCCAAGCGCGTTCAATACCGGCGTAATGTACTTGGCGGTGCTGACGGCAGGGAGCCTGTTACGGTCACATTCGGATCCAAGCTCTACGTGCTGTGCACTTATATAGGGTACTCAGGTAAATACAGCGGAGGAGGCACTCTTAAGTGTGTACTTCTCACAATCAATGGCCCCTGACAGAAGGAAAAAAGTTGGCATGATAAAGTATCATTAAGCACTGTACAGTGTTAAGCACTGTAAATTATCATTAACCCCCTCTCTAGAGAAAATACTTACTGCGCCTCTGACAAGCCCATCACCCACGCTGTCAGTGCCGGGAGGTGAGCTCGCTCTGAGAGTAACTGGTCCGCATTGAGTCACTGTATTCGTTAAGCTCCCCTTCCCATTGCACCGGTGCATGGCGCTGACGTATTTTGGTGACGTAACCGGAAGCGGTCACGGTGATTGGTCAGATCAGAAGACGGAACGCTGGCTCTACCTGCTCGGTCCAGAAACCCGTTGTGTTTTGCCAGAATCATTCAGAATCGATGTAGCTTTTAGAGGTTCGCTCAAAGTAGAGATCTGGTCTCGTTACTGTTGCTAGCCATTTTCAGGACTTGTGTCTGGATTACAGTGGCCGGTGGTTAGTGCTTACTCACTGCAGCATCACGTAGTTTATCGAGGGCATGAAATGACTCAAGTGCCCGTCGTAGCTTTAACTGTCCCATCATTGGGATCGGTGGGGGCTGGACTCCGGCAGCTCTTGGGCAGATTAGACTATGTCTACGTTTGGACCACGTAAAACGTCGCTTGAATGGAAACTGACCCTAATGTCCTTCAATATATGGTTATTTTATGTCGAACAGCACGATGGAGTGACGCCGAGCAGGACATCACTGTTTAATCTCCATACGGTACGCAATCGATGCGACCCCCGGTCTGGTGCGATGCGACATAACTTAGCACCGCAGCGTATACACCTGGCTGCATATGGCGACAGCTGGCGAAGAGGTCACGGCGGAGTCGTAGCCAGAAAGTATGAGTTGCTGAGGTGAAAATATCGATAATGATTATAGGTGACATCAGTGATGGCTACTGTATTCAATGCCATGGCCATCCTCGTAAGCGCTGTATCCGATGTGGGCACGGATGATGTCCCGATGGGTACAGCTCACCACCAATACCATCGTACTGGGAGCGTCATCCGATATGCGGCACGCGTCATTGAGCAGCCAGAGGATGTCATGGATCAGTTTCAACATCCGATCAGCAGTGGTGCTCGCTGTCGCACGCAGTCCGCCCGCTACGTATGCGCATGCCATCACAGATAGCTGGACGTCACAGATCTGTCGCAGCGCTGGCCTGCTGGTTGAGGGCGCTGCTCGCAAGTCGCCACCCTCCCCGCCGCCAGAGGCCGTCAGTCGCGCGCTGCTCGAAGCGCGTCACCAGCAAGCAGCCAGCCCCCCCCCCCCCCCGCCCCCTCTCTCCCGAGCCGGGCAGGTCAGCCTCTTCTCCGCGGCCGCTCTCCCGATCCGACCACCGGGCGTCGGAGGCTCTGACTGGGAGAGGGAGCGCACCAGCGGGTGATTAGCGTCGTTTGCCGCCCGGGTCGATGCCGGGTGTCGCGTTAGCAGCGGTCCTCTGTCGGCGGCCGATGCCGCCGGACGTTGGTCGTCCCAGCTCAGCGGCAGCAACACCCCGGCAGAGTCTGGCGTAGCGAGGCGCGCGTCTCTTGGGGCATGGTGCAACGACAAGCTGTTTGCTACTTTCAGTCATCGCCTTCACCACCAGCAATCTAATGCGTAATACATGTACTGTTCGCTTGCATCGTGTACGCAAGGTATCATCTGCGCAAATATTGCCTGAATGCTGAATTAACGCCTAGCCCGTGCTCCATCTGCGGGCGATGCCAGCCTATTCGGCTACATTGTGCAGTGATGCGCTCGATCGAGTGCCGTCCCGAGCTTGAGGCCACCTCTTTGGCTTACGACCACCTCACTCTCCATCCTCCCACAGACGTGCGGGGCCGGAAATGGCCCAAATGGCTCCCACCGACGGGGGCGGGCGCCGACCGAGGCGGCGCGGTCCACTGCTCGTGCAATCACCGGAGACGGCTAACGTTTCTCTGATGGAGCCGAAAGCCATGCCACTGCCGCGCTTGCTCGGTGACATGACGCTCTCCCTTCTTCACGCCGCTGCACGCGTGTAGCCCTCAGCGGCGTTGGTCAGTTGGTGACCCCATTGCTTGCGTGCATTTCCTAAAGTGAGTACGAGAGCACGATGTCAAAAATGTAAAAAGCCCTGGATCAGCCCAAGAGCGGCTGTAGCCAAGAGACGCTGCGGCCGAGAAATATCTGTTGTGCTAGCACCCAGTTCAATGAGCTTTGCAAGACACTATGGGAGTATGACGCGTTCCAAAACGGAATGATTAGCCGCTGGCCTTTACTTCGCCAGCCGATAAAAACCACTGGTCGTTAGGAATCGATGGCAGCACGTTAGCAACACAATATTTCTGCTCAAATTGACCCATTCACCTTCGCAGTTGGGCTGGAATCATTGTGGGCTGAGAGCGGGTTTAAACAGATAATGCTTCAGACATTCTGATAAATGCCTCCAGTGAAGTGCTCGTCACTGCCCGACGTGTGTTAGCACAGGCCCAAACGCGACTGCCCGGCCGGCCAGAGCGAGATCGGTGTGGCCGTGCGATTAGGTGGTCGCGACCTCTGACCTCAAGTGACTCGACCAAATGGCACAGCTCCCCTACCTAGTCCTCGAAAGTTTAAAGGGATCCTGATAAACGTGTTCAGAATGGAATTATCGAAATACCACAGCACCAGCAATTCATGGGCACAAGCACCGCCTCCCCTTCAGCGGAAAATTTGGCCGTAGTTTGCCGTCCAGTTATAGCTTTGTAATTGTTGTTTGCTCGCCTACTGACGCTTGGCAGGCGGCCTTGGCCTCCGCCGCTCGACCGTCCGTGTTGAATCTCGGCCGCCGTTGCAGGCTGTTTGAGGAGCACGAGGCGCTGCTGAACTTCTTCGAGAAGTTTCGCGAGCTGCGCACCAAGGACGAGCAGGCGGAGAGCCTGGAGTTGGCCGAGCACGCGGCGATGGTGATGGCCACCCTGGACGAGAGCATCCGCGCCCTGGAGGACATGGACGCCTTCTTCGTGCTCCTGCATCAGGCTGGTGCTGCTCACACCAAGGTGCCTGGCTTCAAGACCGAGTTCTTCTGGGTGAGCTGGACACAGTCCTTTCCTTGCTCAGCACTGGGACCCTTCGGTGCTGCGGACGTTTTCGACAGCGAACGAACCGCTAACAATATATTGGAGACCATCATGGAGCCTACCTTGCGCGCCTGTGACCAGCCGAAAGCCTCGTTCATGGTTGTAGCAGCATCACTGCAAGCGTGCTGCAAGCGAATCGGCAAACCTTTTTGGATGGTTAGGGGACTTTGATGTTTAAATGAGTGAAACTACTCGACCATATGACATCCCACTGGCAGGCCTGCATATACACAGCCAAAAAGCGCGGGATAATGTTTTGATGAAAAGATGGCCTCATGTTCTTATGTTGATTTCGTAGTGATCACTTTTGTCTCATTTTAAATTGACGATGCGTAGGAATCTTGCCAGTGCAGCATCGCATGACAGAGATCACCGGGCAGATAATTTAATTTACAACTTGTTTGTAGACAAGGGTCAATATTACGACACGTGACATCAGGATAAATATTCCATTCAAGATTTCTCGCTGCAGACATAGCCGCGTTAAATCAATTTACGGAGTCATGTTTAATCGCGCTTGGAATAGTGACGTTTCAATAGATGCTCGCAGCTTTTTCTCTGAGTACACCCCATATATATGTATATATATATATATATATATATATTATATATATATATATACATATATACATTATATATAGATATGTATATATATATACTATATATATATATATATACCATGTGAAAGCATTGGTCATGCGATTCCACTGAAAGAATTACTATCACGTGCTCAGCAAATGGGATTATACGCAAATTTTGATAAAAAAAATAACAGGTCGTGTCGTGTATTCAGTTCATGACCAGGTCATAAACGCGGGCTGAAATGTATCTTGTGGTATTAAGCTTGATTCCTTTCGAAGCAATTATGGCACAATTCCTCAGCTTGCTGTCATTAATCTCTCTTCGCACGTCCGATTTTCACATCCTAAGCATACCACAGTCGGTGGGTGCAATCCTGACGGGATTTATCACCCAATCGACATCGAACATAGGGAGAGAAACCAGTGGATTACCTTTCTCTTTCCATATTCCCTGAATCCCATTTGAAACTCTGGCACCAACACCTGACCATCCATGCCAAATCAAGACCAATTAATTGCGTGCACGTATTCGTGCACCAACAAATTTAGCACGCACTGGTCAGATATACAGCTAAGACAGTTGCGCAAAAAGGCAAATAAGGTTGCATATATTTTAGGTTACCTCATGATGTATAATGTTATTTCCCCGGTTCATCAGAAGCCTGCCCTGTCAGGTCAGCTTATGCCAGTTTTGGTAGGGAATTCTTGCCAATGCTGATTATTCTATAATTACGAGCGACGGCCACATGATAAACGAACCGTAACGATATCAGCACGTGTTTGCTGATAGGCTTAAAGACCGGCCAACCACGCTTTTGGCAGCCTCATATCGTAACAGCCAGCGCTTGTGCCGCTTTTCATTTTACGGCAAAAAGAAATAATTCTTGAAAAGTTGGACCGAACATTTTTAGCCCTCGTGCGATGGGGGTCTAGACACCTAGGGTTTTCTGGAATAAATTCTGGACGTTTTTGAACACAACTCTGACATTTAGGCAGTCGAGCGTACCAGTTCACATCATATTTGCGTGTTATTAAATGTTGTTTGCTGCTTGAAATGCTGTTTGTGTATTTGCATGCGTTTTTTCTGACGTAAACAGTACATCAGCCATTATCCTTTTCTTCCCAGTAAGGAGTTTCGGTCCGATGCCGACCGATATCTTGACCTTTTCTCAACTTTGCTGGTTGAACAACTAGCTCTAAAAGTGGGACATTTGGCGAGGATTTACCTACCCTGTTCCGGACCCTCTCCCAGCTTTCCCCAAGTGGCCGATTGAGTAATTCCACCCGTTCCCCGAGCCGTCCATAGCGAGTTTACATCAATGGGAATCCGATCCCGATCGGGATTTCCCCACCTTTTCCTATCCGACCAGTTGGGGAATCCCGAGCATTTCGCACGCTGCCTTGGGGATAAAACGCGCAAAGAGATGTCCGCTCCCGATCGAGATTTTCTTCTATTTCCCTTAAGCGGGCCGGTCGGTAAAACCACACTTCTCCTATCTGCCTAAAAACTGCCTATAGGGGTGAATACGCAGTGGAAAAAGTATGGTACCGATAGGGTATCCAACCCGTTCCCGAATAGGGAGGCTTGAGGAACTCCCAGGTTGCCTCAATTGATGACTGATACCGGGGACTCGGTCGGGGAAAGCTTGGGAAAACAAACGCGTTTCCCAAGCCGGTCGAGGGCGCTTGAAGATCTTTTCCCCAATCTTTTCCGATCTGTCCTCAAGCAAACTGCCGGCTAGATCGGTGTTACATCAATGTATGCATCATTATCACACTGGAAGATTCTGCAATCTCACGTCATCTGAGTTCAGACTAGACCAAAGCTTGATCTCTGTCATCGGATTTGATCCTTTGAATGCCATATGATATATAACCCAATGGCGCATGTCGAATGGGCCTTGGAAGGCCCAGAAAATCCTTTCCAGCCCTGTTTTTGTCATTTATGTGGTTTAGTTAGTTGTTGGTATAGTCGTAAGAACGGGCCAATGCAACAATAACGTTCATCCCTTTGTCCCGATGTGACCCAACTCTGCCGTCCAAAAGTAAAACCCCATATGTTGATTTTTGGCCATTTTGCGCTTTTTATGTCACCTGATTCATCTACTCATGCTGATTTTGGTTATTTAAACAACTAATAGAAATTTTTCCAAAGGCTTAGCCCATTGTTTAGCTAAAAGCTTGTGAAAATTTCAACTATTGCTTTAAATATCTGAATGTAGCATGAGAAGACGAATCAGATGGCATAAAAAGCGCAAAATGTCTCGAAATGAACATGTGCGGCTTTACCTTTGGACAGAGAACTAAGGTCATATAAATTTATGTCCACTAGCTCCGTCACTATGCCTCAGGGTCATTGGAGGTTTCTCAAGCATGTGGAATGGACATAATCATTTTTGGTTGTCTCTCCAGTGAACGCTCATAGGGACGTCGTCAAGCTCCCGGGCAGTCGGGATTTGTCACCTTCTCCCCTCTCCCGGGGGGAGAAGGTGACAGATCCCGCTCTCCTTACTCTATTTCTCTCCTGTCTCTTATATTACCTGATTTGGTAAGTCAAAGATCACTTGCATCATTATTCATTCACGCCTATGTGATGCTGTTACACTGGTACTTCCTAATCCAGTTTTCCCGTGACTCTAGTCTTTTTAGTTCTCGAGATATCAGGGGCATCTGAGGCTCCTTGTAAAGCGAATGTAAAAATGTGCCATAGGGCTAGAGATATGGTTCATTACCACCAGGATTCCACCATGATTCATCTCCATAAGCACAGCAATAGCTGCAACTTAAAATTTTCCACTGCGAAAAAAATGACCGACAGCGGACGAAAACAGGTGCAGATCCGAAATCGCAGAGACATGAATGAGCACGTTCCGACCGAGCTGAACACGGCCAACCGTATGAAAGAACATGCGGGTTGGCGTGCGCTGCCGGGCTTGCCCCCTGAGCGCAAACAGTCACGCCTCACGCGCGCAAACGGTCACGCCTCCTGCGTGCAAACGGTCATGCCTCCTCACGCCTCACGCCTCTCGCTCGCAAATGGTTGCACCTCCTCACGCCTCATGCCTCCCGCGCGCAAGCGGTCACGCCTTCTCACACCTCATACCTCCCGCGCGCAAACGGTCACGGCTCCTCACGCCTCATGCTTCCCGCGCGCAAATGGTCACGCCTCCTCACGCCTCATGTCTCCCGCGCGCGAACGCTCACGCCTCCTCACGCCTTCCGCGCGCAAGGCTCAGGTCGCACCGTCTGAGGCGTTTTTAACTTCGGCATCCAGATTAAATCTCCAAAGAAGAGGCTGTTGATGATCAGGAAGGGGTAGGTCCCGGCCTGGTCCGTTGCCTTAACACCAAGCGGGATTTGTATGCCAGAATGGTGCGCGTATTTCCCAAGCAGTAATTACAGTTGAATGGATAATTAGACGACGCTGATATTGAATCGTCGCGACGCTTTGCTTCAGAGTTGCTGATGTCACCAGCTGGAGGAATCGGAAAAACGCAGTCCACGTGAGGAACGCAGACCAACAAATAACTCGCCATTGCCCATTTCAGAAAATCAAGAACCCGTTCTTGGAGGCCGTCAAAGTAACTCTTGGGGACGCCTACACAGACAATATGGACAGCATTTACAGAATCACCATCGACTTCGTGCTGAGCACGCTGGTAGAGGGATTCGAGAAGGCAGAGAGTGCGGCGAACTCCTGAGCAGCGAACCCGTGAGATGTGTAACGCTCAGTCCCAGCCGTCGGCTCTCCTGGCCGGCGCCCGGTGACCTTCGGGGTCACGTGACCGCAGCTGGCCAATCGAGTGCGTGTTCAGTGACGTCAGACGGTCAACGCCGGCCGTCTGTTCGCGCCGAGGCCCGCACGTGGCGGGCAGCGGGACGGTGCGCGGCCACCGGCGGATGTACACGGTGATTAGCGAGGTGGCGTGTCGTGCGAGCGTGCGCGGGCCAGCGCCCTCTTCCTAGGAGATAACAGCGTTTATTGCGGTCTGCGTGTGCTACCCGCGAGTCGTGTATTGTGGTCTGCGTGTGTCATTCTCGAGTCGTTTCCATGGCAGCAGATTGTCACCGCGGAACACCGGTCCATCGGGCTTCGCCGCTGGAGGCGGAGCGGGACCATGAGAGGCGCTGTGATGCGTGACACCCAACCTCAGACAGGGATGAGGGATCCAGGAAAGCTTCCGAGGATCGCCCACTTCTGACGCGGGAGCGAATCTTTTATAGACTGTTCGCATTGGCATGTTTGTTCCGCTTTTGGCGCGCGCTGGTGTCGGGCGCCCGTTCATTGGACAAGGACGACCGAGCCATAACCGCACGTTTGTTTACGCCATATTTCTTTTTGAAAACGCCGCATTTGTCGTCACGTATCGTCACTGCTCGCAGGATATGCTTTCCTGTATCCTATCTGGTCACGTAGGGCATTCTTCTAGAGGAGTTTTGGTTGCCGGCTTAAATGCTTAGTGGTAATTTATTCTTATATTTGTGGACGATCTGTAGTTCTGAAGTCGAGGGTAGCTTCTTGGAAACCTTGCTGCATAGCCGCTTACCCATTTGAGATTATGCAAGCGGACGTTCGAAGCCCAGGTATGACTTTCATCGCGACGAGCAATCTGTCTTAGACCGTCGATTTAAGCACCCTCGGGTATGCATTCATTCGGGGCCACACATTCTCTCAGACGTGACCTGCTTTTGACAAGCGTCCGAAGCACGCGGAAAGGCTTGTGCGAATAGCCCTATGAAAGCCATCGGGAGGTCCGTGCAGATTTTAGGTCGATGTTTTGCACGACATCCCCGGTGGTCGACAGCACACGATGTGCGTAATGCAAACCTAGGCCCCGTGTCTAAATTCAGAAACGTTTTGGAGCACATGCCGTCTCAAAAGTATGGGGGGCTGAGTTATGTCGTTACAAAGAGCACAACGGCATGGGTGTACCATCCATGCATGGTCGCGCTTAGCAATGTCAGAACCACTATAGTTATAAATCCATTGGCCCAACTATGAAGTAAGTATGACCAGACAGCGGTATTCAATCGCTTCACAGTGATACGTACATGCTCATCATTTTGACACATTTCTTCCGTCCTCCCGAAACACGAAGTATCTGCCGCGTCTGCTGTTCTAAAACCGTCCTCCAAATTGAAGTCACCGTAGCCTAAACAATGAGAATTTGTCTCCTGGAAGAAATGTCATCGTAAAGCACGTTCAAATTATCGTGTATAACTTTTGCTTACTCACCATACATGTCTTATTTTGGGCTCACCCCATCGATAGCCCAGCTAAAATGAGGCGGCAGGCAGCGAGACATGCTCCTTGTCCTTTCGGAGACTTCCTAATCTCACTGCTATATGTGCGTGCGCATTTTTTTTCGAGTTGTCCTTTCTCCGTTACTATCCGCAGTTCTCACTCACTTAATCTTATGAAAATAATTTTCCTAACTGCACAGCATTCAACAATAATCATTCTGAAGCCCAGAAACTATCCATGAAAAAGCGTGATACCCTGTCAGTCACGAATGACTTGTAAGAGAGCCGCATCGCTCGGTAAAAATATGTTTTGGTAGACACTTGCCTCGTGTTGACATGACGACATTTGACGACGAATTTCGCCAGAGCTGCCAAACTTGTGTCCATTCAGACCGGTGTGTGGGCTATGTAATACACATCGTTCAGCGAGTCGACGCCGCCCCGGTCAATGCCACTGGAATGATGAGCTTTGATGGAGGGATCTTTTGAGCAAGCAAATGGACCGGGGACATACTCGTGCAGTATCACCACAGGTGGCTACAGGCTGTGCATGCTTGTTTAAGAGACAGTCTTCATGGAGTTAGAAAACCAAAAGTGTGACTGATTGGAGCATCATGTTATCAGTTCACTCGTTTGCAACAGCAATTTCGTATAAGCTAGGGTACTTGTATAATAAACAGCAATAGCTCTCATTGATATACACCGGCTGACGACTTTTGGTTAAGACCATAGGGTCAGTTGGTTGATATACAACGTTCTGCACCTAACTTTCAGCCAAAACTGAACGTTTGAAAACAGCCGATTTAACCACTAGACTAAACTTTATGATTAGCTTATGCTGTATCTTAGAAAGAGAACAATTTGGCTCATTATCTACTTTGCGTTGTAATATGTTCGCGCTTGTTTATGTGTGCTGATGCAAACAAAGCCATAGGCAGAATGAGCACAAAATACCCACCGCGATTGAAATAAGTAAGCGTTAAAAATAATGTTAATTGAGGCAAATTCTTCACTTGGCGTTGACAAGATCACACTATCATAAACACCGACACGTCCAGGATCATCGAGGCGGAGCTTTGCAATTTGCATTGGTGTGAATCAGACGGCTACTGGTAGCAATGGTGCCTCGGATTTTTCAGATAGGAGTAAAAAGCGATTGTTGTGTCCAAGTGGCAATCACTGTTACGGAACTGCGGCGTGTGGTTAATGAAACCTGTTACCGTAACGGCAGCCAAGAAACGCCAGACTCACAGCCCGGTTCGAACACACAATCCACTATGCGACCATGGGCGAACGCTCCGTCAGCTGTGGCGTGTCGTCCACCCTATCTAGTGCCGCGAGGTGTCATCTGATGTCATCCGGTGGCAATGAAAAGCCGATGCAGTGTGGTGAGTCATGGAATTAAGGCTCTGGGTCCCGAAACTAAGGTTTGGAATGGCTCAAGAGCCCGGGACGCAGTCAGGCGCCTTGACGATGTTCAGTGACCGGACATCAACGCTCGACTGACTCCATTCAAGGGTCTGATGATGCCGACATGTTTTGATGTTGGCGTTTATTTGATAAAATGGTGCATTCGAACCCATAACTCACCACGCGACCACGGCGAATGCTCCGCCAACTGCAGAGTTTTGGGTATTTCCGGAAAAATCTGGAAACCTGATCGATTAAGCCGTTGGTAGGCATTTATACACACTTAATTTACCTCCCTAGGTTCTCCACTTTTGCGGAGAGTATGCGTCCATTTTACCATAAAAAGAAGTAGAAAATTATCCAGCCTGGTAGCCTTCCGAGACAAAACATTTTGAGGTGTTCCGAAGAATTTTGTTCCACGGCCCCGGCTATTCTAAGACCATTGTTGCCAGTATTCAAGTTTCGAAAACAGGAAATTTACTGCAAGGCGATGGTTACCATACACCTGAACGTCAAGGCTGCACTGCTTGGAAACCGATATCGGCAGAAAACGGATCATTAATGTGAGGCTCGCCCAGATGTTACGGAAAATCTCCTTCCCGTACAACTGGTGCGAAGGTGAGGCACGTTTTGTACCGTCATAACGTCGACCGCAGCGACGGGCCAAGGGACCGTGCGAGGCACAAACTCCACGTACTCAGGGCCGGCGTAGTAAAAATGAGCCTCAGTATATCTGAACCCGCAGCTCAAAGAAGCATACATTATTGAATGTTTTGCATGGATGGCTTTGGAATCACAGTCCCTTCTGACATCTAAGCACAGCTTGTGCCACAGGCCGTGACGTCACAATCTCGGATGAACAGTTCCTGTTCCTGAAAGCTCCTGTTCAAAAGAAAGAAAGTTCCTGTTCAAAGACCATCGTGTTTGCTATTTTATGCTGTGCTGTGCTGTGTAGGCAAAAGGTATTTGACAAAGGTGAGTCTCAAGATTCTGACCTTTAATCATTTTGAGTTTGTGTGCTGAAATGATAGCATTTTAGGATCATTGATATGCATTATGAAGTGCTAGAATGTGCTATCAATCGACATTACAAATTTTCAATCACAAATTTCAAGGCATGCTTGACGTGTATTTTGCCTTTCGTGAAAAAACATGCTAACCGTTCGTTTAAACCGCTTAACGTGGCCGTCGAAACATGTTACCAAACTCCACAAAGCTATCAATTATCATCGGTGAGGAACGTCACGGCATATATCAACACTTCTGTGGTATCTTAAGCTGATACCAGTAAATGACGGTGCATTAATGGTCGTGCAACATGTGCACGTGTTACATTGCTGCATTTGCATTATCGTGCAGTGCTTGATATTCATAACGTAATCCTGAAATACGGAATTAATCGCTATTTAATAATTCCCATTATACGTTTTAAAGCATCATTGAAATATGCTTGGTAATTTGTGCAAAATGTGCTGGCCATTTGTGCAAATCATTTCAAGCTGCCGTCGAATATGTCAGTGCAGCGAAAATGCTGAAAGTTGCCATTGATCGTCGTTGAGCATCGCAGTGACACATTTCAACGTTTCTTAGGTGCCCCCATTTAGCCACTAATTCACGATGAAATAAGGCTGGTTATTTGCAGCGCAGCAACTCAAAAGTCCACAAATGCCATGACCGACTCTACATCGCGAAGAGGCCCGACGGAAACGACGGAGCAGACGCGCAGTGTCATTTTTTATACCGCGGTGCGCTTTGCCACATCTGGCTGAAAAACGACGCTATTGGGCAGACGTTTACTTCTGGCATACAGAGCGCGGGGAGTGAATAATGCTCTCCCGAGTGGGGCTCTTTGGGAATATCATCGGAAAGATGGGGGGGGGGGGGCATTCCCCATGCTCAGACGCTGGTGTGCAATACAGCGTGTCTTTGATCGAAGGTGAATAAGCACAGCATTTGTCATTGCTCCACACGATTAAACGTGAAGCTCACTCGTGAGCTCAGCTCGTGAGTTTCACCTCAGTTGCTGAGCCTCAGCTACTGAGCCTCAGCTGATAAGCCTCAGCTGCTGAGTCAGCATCGGCGAGCTGATTGTTCAGGGTCACGAGCATCACTGCTCACCGTACCTTGCTGAACACGGGGTGTCGCAATCCGACCACAACATCCACATGTCCATTCTGGGTGCGTGGCTGGGACGGCGATCCGTGGACTGATGGCCTGGTCTCTTGGCTGCCTCTGAACCAAAGCGTCCATAAAACCTTATAGCTAAGTCAGGTATGTGAGCCTGGTAATGCACCCTCTGTTGCGGAGACGGTTGACCGGACGTTCAACGTGTATGTCTCGAGTTGCTGAACTACAGCAGATGGTCGATAGATTGTAGGACGGACAGCTCTCCAAGAAAGTCGCTGCCGATCTGACCAACCTCACGCGTCGCAGCTGAACATGGGAGCGGTTCCGCAGCTGGCGCCACCTATATGGTGATGTTTGCTCAGAAGGGTATCCAACCGGCCACGCGGGCGCGTGATAAGTAAAGACACTGATGCAAAAAACTTACCTGTTGAGCAATGTTTGTACCGCGGTGATCCGTCCTGCATTATTCATTGTCGCTTTATCCTGGATCCTCGCGACGCCCCGCTTGTCCGTTGGAATCTACATGCACTGATTGCACCGGCCACGAATGCGGTTAGGTACACCTTGATGTGGTCCGGTCCGGGCGCCAAGCACATACCCCGGACGGGAGTCCCCGTGTGACCCAAGTCTCGGTGGATGAACCCTCAAGTGCATGTACTTTTGCCCCACCATAATTTACTTTCATGCGTCCCATAGCCTCGAAATGGTCATTATTGGCGAAAAAGGCTCTAATCTAGCCTAAATCATACCGTGACGCAATACGATTTCGCCATCGTGTCTTGTTAGGCTGTATTCCAGACGGTTTCGTTTCAGGCCTCTCTTTGGGTCATGTATTTTTTATTATTTTTTATGACTGATTATTTATGCGGGAAGCTATCTTTCTGCGCGCAGTCCCGGAAAACCGGTCCTGGCACGTATGTGCATACATGGAGCACTTTCATTTTCTCCAGATAATCGTAGATTGTACCATTTGAAGGCGCTATGGAAAAATTAGCGAAACTAGACTGCCAAACACCATAC